TTGGTCAAAATGTTAGGAGTAGTCGAAAAATCAGGCTCGAAGTAAAGCAATATAAATAATTATAATTTAACAAAAACTAGCTAAAACAGTGACGAACCAAGTACCTATAGACAATCTGACTACAGAGTACTAAAGAAACCGACCTCAAAAGTAATTTTCCACCTTTTCCTTTCCTAGTTTTCCACCTTTAGAGGCAGAATATTTTCTTCAAATGTAAATGGGACCACTATTGAGGTACCCTCTTTTCAACAAAAAAAGAATAATCAAAATTGCGTAAAATTCACAAACATCGAATTGAGAACCTCCTCCTTTTTTGAAGTCGGTTAAAAATACATAAACAATGAGTAATAGAAAATATAAAAAAGTATAAAGTATCTGTCCCGTCGAGCGGCCGGTTCGCAATACCAATTATAAAAATTAGTTTCCCAAATTGCTTCCACTAGGATTCAGACCCGGACTCTCAAGATTGTTTAACCACTGAACCACAGAGGTCGTTTACGGGTAAATACGTTAGCTGAGTGAGTAAGAATGGAGATAAAGATCGCCTGTCGGTATTCAATGAGTCATCGTCATTATTTACTTTCAAGTATATAATGACGGATTATCATTAATGTTTATATAACAGATACCGTTTTCCGGTGACGTCACAAGAATGAGCGCCCTAAAAAGCTTTGCTACATTTGCTACATATCCGTATCCGTCCGTGATAATGGTGCTTCCCTCACCAAGGATTTAACGGATGCACGGGGGATCACGGGGGACACGATATTGCACCCATTTACTTTTAAAAATTTCTATAAATTATATCTCTTGATTATAAGTTTTGTAATCTGAACGTATAGATACCGGGGTATTTAGTTTGTACAATAGGCATTCTTTAAAGTGCATGCTCCATCGTAGACGTCATCGTCACTTTCCATCAGGTGAGATGGAGGTCAAAACTTAATTTTCTATTAAAGAAAATTGTTTTTAATAATTCAAAGTGGAACCTGGATCATTTTTATGGGTTGCATTATGGAACTTTTTTTATGATATCAAATATTGTACGAACAAGTCGTGCGCCTGCTGGTAAGCGACACGCCTGTTCATAACAGTTGTAGTGCCGCTAGGATTTGTAAATCGCAAAGATCTGCAGCTGGATTTTGATTGCCTCTCCCGATCGGAAACTGCGTCTCTTCCGAGTCGAGGCGCATAATTGCGATTCACAACTGGCCGATCGGAAATTTTTGACATTTCTAATCGGAACAATAGTTGATTTAACTCACAAATTAGAAAGACATAGTAGGAATCAGGTTCATCTTCTCGCTCAGAAACCCATCTGATTTCGAACACGCTGAGGGCACTGCCTCTGCGTCCATAACCCTGAGCTGAGACATAAGATGACAAGTCCCTTGAGCCTGTAATTTCAACAACACTAGTAATAATATATAATCTTAGAATAATAACGTATAGAAACCTAGCCCGCACACGCTAAATGAGGCAAATTGAAGCGCTCCCAAAGGGCCTACACGAGCGCTTTGAGCTTCAGTGCTCAAGGTCAACTTGCACCGCGAACAGATCAAGAATTTTAGCTAAAAATGACGAAATGTGCGGTAAATGAGTGTAAAAATACGTCAGACAAACATAAAATAGATACTAACATCACATTCCACGAGGAAGTAACGCGTTTCAACTTGTATTTTTATATAAATATTCACTAAAACCGAAAATTAACCTACTACTAAAACTATCCTACATGAATTTAATTTTTGCCTCACTTGGGACAGTTCATTTGATATGAAACTATCATTCTATGCGTTTTACTCTAAGTATATAATAATATATATGATAATTTTTTAATAAAATCGTTTTTACAACGAATTTTCCATTGTGCATTATTGTTATTTTCAGAACCTTGTTGAGTGTTCGATGCGGATTGTTGACTCTCTACTTGAGAAACTGACTTGTTATTTGACTGTTGCATTCTTTGTGGTATTCTGTAATTCAGGCAACACTATTTAATTTATAATGTGTAATCTAAAATTTGTCTAAGTGCATGACTTGTTGTTTGGTCTATTTAATTATAATCTCAGTGCAGAGTACTAAAAACAACCAAAGTCATTCATCCCCTAGTTTGCCACCCACAGAAGTGGAATATTTTCTTCTAATTGAAATGGGACCTCTCCTGTAGGGCTGGCACGATAAGATGCAATTTGCACGAGAGCAACATAAAGTGCGAGAATAGCAGTATCTCGCGCTTTATGTCGCTTTGGCGGTAGTCGCACCCTATCGTGCTAGCCCTACTGAGGTACCCTCTTTCCAACAAAATAAAGAATAATCGAAATCGGTTCACAAGTGCCGGAGTTATCACGTAACATACATAGTAAAAAACTCCTTTTTTGAGGACGGTTAAAAATTAAACCTGAGTCTCAATATACATGTTTCTTTTAAGATTCCTAAGAATGTGACGTCATCGATTACATACAATATAGAATGTTAGTTTGTATGTAATGTTCTTGCGATTGAAAAGGTCGTATGTTTATTATGTAAAGTTTGGAATGACATCATCGTCCCGTCGGAGAGATGACTGTCCCTTACTCCACAGCATCAAGTTGTTTTATTCTCGTATTATTGTCGTTGTAAATGAATGTTGATAGATCTTTTGTTTAGGATCGTCAAGTTTTAATTTACGTGTGATCGATCACAAAATGACTGTAGTATACAAGAAGTTTTGTACATAGGGCGCACTATAAGTTTCCGGAACTGGCCACTTACATAAACAATATTTAAAAGGTAATTACAACATTTGAAAATGGAACTCTTTGGCTGTAGAATACAGTTTGTTTCATCTCACTGTCACTTGTTTTTACATTGTGGCATCATTTTAGAAATTGGTTGTCACATCATCATGGATTTAAGTCGTGAAAATTTTCGTAGTATGATTTTCTAAGACTTTAAGTGTAATGTAACAGCGCAGCGGGGCTTCGCTCGGCTTCAAACCGCTTTTGGCGATGAAGCACCATGCAATACGACTATTTATAGCTGATTTGCAGAATTCATACGCGGTCTTGTGAATCTCAGTGATTTGCAGAATTCATACGCGGTCTTGTGAATCTCAGTGACGAATTCCGCCCGTCCACTGCTGTGAACAAAAAAACATCGATGCTGTGTGCCGTATGATAAAAACAGACAGACATGTGACATACCATGAGATTCGGGCATCTTTAGGCATAGGCATGAGTCAAATACAATCAATACTACACAAACATTTCGGTGTGAAAAAGCTGTGCTCCACCGAGAGATCCCACACAATTTGACTGAGGCTCAAAAAACGGATCGCGTCACTTGGTGCAATGCCATGCTTACCAGATTCAACGAAGGGGCGCCAAATTTGGTGTGGGACATAGTAACAGGTCGTCACCTGTTACTCCAGTACGTTACGTCACCTGGTAATCCATGTTTCGTCAAACATGGATTTATAGTTACGATCCCAAAACAAAGCAGTAATCGAGCGTATGGGTCTTTCGAGTGAGTAAAGTGCTTTTAAAGAGATGATTGCTTCTTTTTTTAAATAAAACTGGACACGTAGCTACTGTTGCTTGGGAGAATCGTTATACCGTGAATAGTGATTGGTACACGACCATTTGTTTACCGGAAGTTATTGACAAACCCCTTAAAAATAACCGTAAACGCCGTATCATCTCGCACCACGATAATGCCAGTTCTCACACGGCCAGACAGATAAATGAATTTTCGAAGGTGAACAACGTTGACCTTATGAACCATCCTAAGTACATTCCCAACCGTGACAGGTCGGGACTTATTTATTTCCAAAAATGAAGAACCAGTTACGCGGTCAACGACTTTCATCACCTGAAGAGGCTGTCGAAGAGTGTGAAAAATATGTTTCAGAGATTGTCACGGAGGAGTGGCATAAATGTTTTCAAAATTGGTTCATTCGTATGAAAAAGTGCATTAACGCTAACGGAGAATATTTTGAGAAACAATAAATTCATTTCTGGCCATTTATAGTATTTTTTTTTCTTATTCATTCCGGAAACTTGTAGTGCGCCACACGTATCAACATCAACGAATGTTTACAAATTTTAATAATTGCAGATTTATACACCCTTTATGTACAGGGCTGGGCTAAATTGTAAAATACTTTAAACAAAGGTATATATTATTGTGTGTATATATATGCATACTATATATTTATTTAAGATGTAAAATCCAATCATTACCGAAAATCGAACACCATGACAGTATTTACCAGTTACAAAATCCATGTGGACAATTGAAATAATCTCAGTACCTACAGAGTACTAAAAAAACCTACCTCAAAAGTCATTCATTCCCTAGTTTGCCACCCAAGGGTGGTATATTTTCTTTAAATTTAAATGGGACCACTTCTGAGGTATCCTCTTTCCAACAAAAAAGAATCATCAAAATCGATTCACAAATACCGGAGTTATCGCGTAACATACATGCAAACAAAATGTCGAATTAAGAACCTCCTCCTTTTTTTGAAGTCGGTTAAAAACATCGATTACTCCCACTAGTTCTGTTGACAGAACTACTAATATTTTTCTTCCAATTTGTTCTGTTAATAGATAGCCAATTTTCTTCACGGAACTTCTAGTTGTGGACGTGTGGAAGTTTTCATTATATTGTTGTCCTACCTATAAATTACAATTATGTAAAGTTTAATTTTCAACTAAAAACTTACTCTACGTTAGTATTCTATCTGTTATATAGATCAACCACCATTTTACTTATACACTACCAACTCATGTACCAACGCATATAAGTTGTACTGGGGAATACTGGGGTCCTACCCGTTCCCGTGCTACCTATATGCCGCTTAAATCAACGTTTAGAGGCCTTAATATCTACTACTTACCTTTGTTGGTATACTGATTAGAGGAGACCTTTTTTTCTATATCTATGGAGAAGACTGTTTTCGAATAGTTTTGTCTAATTTTGTCCAAAATAACATTATAACTTCAAACTTATTCCAGGGTGGATTTAAAGGATATAGCAGTGGTCCTGAACGTAAAAATTAGCGGCGATGTGGTCAGTGCAGTTTGGAATGGGAAGGTGGTCTCGCTGTGCAGCAGTGATCAGAAGGCAGGAGTCTCCACGCTTGCTGACGAACCTCTGCAGTGGCACGGGTGTGGTGGGTTTCACATTTAATTACTATAAATATTCAATTAGGACGCCGTTTTGACGAGAAACAAGTCTCTCTCGTGGTCCCTCTAGTGGGACACAGACGGCTGCATTCAGTCCACCTGGATCGCCCTAGCCCTATCCCCCAGGATCCCCTAGCCCAATCACCCAGGGTGCAGCTAGTCCTCAGGATTTTCTGGGAACTCTACAATATAATATGGAATGTATATGTCACGTTGAAAACAACATCATCACTAAACGAAATTCTCGCTTTTTCAAATTTAAACTTAATTTCAGCAAGTTTAATGACCATTCACAAAGTTGACTTTTAATGAAACTAAAGGCAGTGGCAATATCGATTTCAACGTGATATATTTTTCCAAGTAACCTTTGATTTAGTGGCAAGTTTGAAACTTGGCATTGAATTTAAGATTCAATCATCAGCAGAAGGCGTTGACTGAATATGTCTTCACAATATTTACGATGAAAGTCAGATGAAAATTTGAATATCAAAAATCGAGTTATCTGTTTAGGTCTATTAGGTTATTTTTGCCATTTCAAAATTAATATTATTTATTATAATTACTTTAATTAATTATTATAATATTATTATTATATTTCAAAATAAATGACCAGGATAATTTCCAGATTAGTTTTCTGTATTGAATTTGAATGGCAATTTTATTGTTTAAGTGTTTTTAGATTATCGTGACATATTAAATAATATTTCTGGATACTACACTCTATAACACTCAAACAACACTTCATGGTATTCTAGAATAATTAAATAATCAAAATTGCCACCAGAGTTCATTTATTATATGTGCGTGGTGGAATGGTTACCATCCTGGTCTGCCATGCAGAGATACCGGGTTCGATTCCTGGGCCGGGGGATATATTTTCATGACGTACATTTATTTATCTCGGAGTTTGGGTGTAATTTGTGGTTGTCTCTGTGTGTCCATGGCACCCGCGATACTGAGTTTCCCGAAATTTACCCATAAATGTGATTGTATACCAATTTACAAAGAGCAATTCCTAATTTCAGAAGAATCTACCTTACGAATAAGTAGTATTGTTCTCAAGTGTAAGTTACTTATTTATGAAATAGACATTTTGAATTTTAGTATATAGACAGCTACCTGGCATGTTAGCTTGGTAGTGTCTACTGCCTTTAGTTACTAAAATATAACTTCTATAACAAACAAGAGGGCCTATATTCTTATTACGATTTTTGTGTTGATTATTCAAACCCTAAGGCATATGATTTTATTAAATAACTAACAACTTTTCAGCTTAGCCACTCTTTTTAAATACACTTGCAAAACAAAACATCTATTCTCCGTACCATACACACATTGTTTAGTGTACTGAATCAGCTGCAAACGTGGAACGCAAGTTTAAATATTGACATCCCTCTAGGGTAGACAAGTTTTGTAAAGAAGCATAATATATGTTATCAATAGAGTTGTAATAAATAGCTGATTAGTGACGATAAGTACAGCATGATGATACACAGATACAGCAGAGTGACTTTTATTGTTGACAGGGCTTATTCGCGGAAATGATGTCGAGAAAGGAAAAGTGTATATCATCACGCCGACACCGGACTTCCAGCTGTCTAATGTTAATACTGTGGCGTACGCGGACTGGGTGCCTGAACTGCGAGGGCTAGAGCGCACATTGCCTCCTGACACTCAAGTGCCTTACCGCACTGCCTCTGTCTACCACCACCGGCAACTCATGTTCACGCCAAAACGACGCTTCAACCCACTACAGCTACTGAAAATGTCTAGGAGCTCCTAAATTGAAACCTTCGAGTTAGTTAATAAATTTGTAATTGGAGTAAATCCAAAATAATTATCTTATATCATATAAAGGAAGTAATGTTAATTCATGTATATTTGAAAGATAATTTTGTACTTACAATACTAATAAAACATAACATAGATTGATTGTTTTTTAACTTAAATATTTTTCCCATTCCTAAACACCTTTGTTTTGTAAATGCTGTAATGATTTTCATTTTTTATAAAAGTCAAAAAGAGTCTACAAAAGAAATGTTAAAACATGGGGTCCTTTATTACTAATAAATTATATTAGCAAGTGATCATACCGACGTTAATTTCACACAAACAATAGATTACAATAACTGCCCTATGGGATGAGAACAGAGAAAAGGACGTCTGAGACGTACTGACAGGCACTTAGCAGAGTCAGATGGGGCTTGCGCTCCATGTCAAATAAACATCCTAACATTTATACATCACTATTTTATTGAAAAATTAAAATACAAAATATCAAACTAAAAGTCTCGGTGACATGACACCGGCTGAGGAATATATCTATATGTTGAAGAAATGCTACTAGATTATATAACATGATAGTATAGCACGAAAAAATCTCACGAGCCGGGTTGAGACCCTTACTCGCCCCCCGACTACATTTGTTAAGGCATTTATGCTTACTCTTTATAGATAATCTATAAAATATACAAGTACCAATTGTGAAAGTGTAGCCACACGAATACTGAGTGGGTGTGCGCGCGCCCTCGGGCGCCGGTCGTAGGAAGCACTGTGTGGCGCCGCGACCGCCGCGGTCCAACCAGTTCAATGTAAGTTTCAGGCAGTATGCAAACGATTTATAAATCAGTGTTCTCCCGATCACGACACACTTACAGCAGGGAACACCTAGTCTTCTTCTTCTTCTTAACCTGTAGCGCGGCGCGCGTCGCCGTCTCAAACACTTCACGCACACCCTCCTTACTCTTGGCCGAGCACTCTAGATATGCAAACGCATTAATTTTCTCGGCCATAGCACGGCCTTCCTGCGGCTTTACCGGCTCCTGCTTCATCTTGCGGAGCTCGTTAATCGTGGCGGGATCGTTGCGTAGGTCCTTCTTGTTGCCCACTAAAATGATTGGTACGTTGGGGCAAAAGTGCTTCACTTCAGGCGTCCACTTCTCCGGGATGTTCTCGAGCGAATCGGGCGAGTCCACCGAGAAGCACATAAGTATCACGTCGGTGTCAGGGTAGGACAGCGGGCGCAGCCGGTCGTAATCTTCCTGACCAGCCGTATCCCACAAAGCTAACTCCACCTGCTTGCCATCCACCTCTATATCGGCGACGTAGTTCTCGAACACCGTCGGCACGTACACTTCCGGGAACTGATCTTTGCTGAACACTATCAGCAAACACGTTTTACCACACGCGCCGTCACCGACGATCACCAATTTTTTGCGTATCGCAGCCATCGGTCCTGTGAAACGTTAAAACGCAAATAATTACGATGGTCAGCGTCAACGCCTTTTATGAGTTATAAATATGGCCGCCGTATAGGATTATGGGTAGGGAGTAGTCAAAGCCCTCAAACGTGAATAAGCACCTGAGCTAGCGGAAGAAGAACAGCACCACCACATAGTACCCTCACATGCGAGGGTGGTTATTTATTAGAGTTTGTAGATACCTGAAGATTCTGGCTAATTTCAGTAGAATATTGGCTTATCGACACTTTTGCTCATCACAAGCACTTTCGTTCGTAAAAAACCAGTATTGCAACATGGAAAAAAATGTATGAATCATGGGTGTGATTTCAATCGACAAGGGATTTTGTAAAATAGAAACTGTATTTATTTTTTTGTCAAGTTACTTACAATGTATATCTGTAAAGCACAATTCTAATGGGATAACAGCTGAATGTTATTTAATTGCGAAAAACAACTTTTTTGAGTTGCCACATTAAATAAGACAACGTGACAGTAGTTTGACGTTTTACAAAAATGGCCGTCATTTACGTTTGGATACACGTTTTTTTTATGTTAATGGACGTGGTGGTGGTTACTACGTTAAAGTTAATTTGATCATTGGGTCACGAATAGCAAAATGTTTAGTCGGGATGTAATGGTAAACCATTTGTAACTAAAATACGGATATATTTCTAAAAGTAATGAATACAATATGTGATGATTTTCTTTAAATATATCGAATAATGTAAAATACAAAAAATGTGTCAATGTATTCGAAAATATTGTAATACATTTCTGTTTCAGCAAAGGTCATCGATCACTTGTACTGTTTTTAAACGGTTTTTATCAATGAACGTGTAAATAATAGCAATGACACCGAAAGCGATGAGATCATCATCATTCTCATAGAAGTCAGCAATTTTATCTTTTACTGCCTGTTAGGTCATCATTAGTGACATGATTCAAGGTGTAAATAGATAAAATGTTAAATAGTAAATATACAATACATCTTAAAGCATACGACGCAAACGTAAGACTGTTCTTACGTTTGCGTTTAATACTTGAGTCATTCTTAAAATTCAAAGTTATTAATTAATATATATTCTTTATTGCACCAAAAAAATATAACAGAAATATTGGCTTAATAGAAGGTGAGCAAAAGCGGACTTATCTCTAAAAGAGATCTCTACCAGCCAACCCAGGTCAGTGAGAGCTAAGATTATAAGCGGGCAACAGCATGCAAGAGAGAATGAGAAAGAAATATAATAAACTACATAAATAATATTAAAAAATTACCGCTACTTACATAAGTATTATAATGAATCATAATAAATAGTATCAATACCATCAATACACATAAATATATACACATTTACATAAAAGAATATGAAAAAAAAAAACAAAGAGAGTTCAACAAGAAAGTGCGCTGTCAACCTTTCTTGAAAGAAGCGATAACGGGCTAGACTGGATATGGGATGGGAGTCTGGACCACAACTGTGCTGCACTGGAAGAAAAGGAGTAAAAAAAGAAATTTGTTTTACAGCTAGGACGAACAAGCATTTAATGATGCATGAACGTCTTGAGCGGGTGAGAGGAGGCAGCAGCTGGAACTGGGACCATGGGTAAGGGGAGTAAGCGTCATGAAGTACATTAAAAAGGGCGGACAGGATATGTAAATCACGGCGAAGGTGAATTGGGAGCCATTTTAACCGAGAGCGAAATTCGTAAACATGATCAAATTTACGGAGACCGAAAATAAATTGGATAGCCAGGTTTTGTAGGCGTTCTAGTTTATTTAGAAGCTCTTCAGTCACAACTAAGTAACGAAACGTCGGCATAGTCGAGTATGGGGAGTAGAAGAGTTTGCGCAAGCATAATTTTAGGAGAAAGCATGAGAAGCTCATTCGTCTGCTAACCTCATTGACAAGAGAAGTCCAAACCAAGGTGCAGTCCATTACTAGCCCTAGATTTGTTTGCTTTGTCAGTATATGCAAAAGGAGTTCCATCACATACCAGCGCAAGTGGACCGATCCAACTTGCACCTTAATCTGCTACTGCCTACAATAATAGCTTGAGATTTATCGGGATTAACCAAAAGGCCAAATAACTTAGTCCATAACATTAGGTATCTTGTGATTAAAAAGTTAAGAAAAGGAAGAAATATATATATAAATATATAAATAAATATTTCTTCCTTTTTTTAACTATGATATGTTCCATTTATTTTTATTTGGATTATATACGGTACCTATATGGATCATTCTCAAAAACTGACTTGAAATAATAATAAAAAACAATGTTTTGTGATATGATTTAAAGTAGTCTCAAATGAAATGTACCATATCCTACAATATGTTTCACTTAAGAACCTAGCCATTATCACTGTAGTTTTCATGAAAAAAGAAAACATGCCTCCACGGAAGTGACATAAGTCCATGATAATGACATATTAGATTAATTTGAATGAAGCATGTATCTATATAAAACGTACTGTGAATAAAACGTATTTTTTACTTAATTATCTTTATTGACGTAATCACTTAGATATTGATTAAATTGTAGACTTTTTAAAGTATAGGCATATTCAATTATGTAAATTTTGTTATTATTAAAATATTTTTTTTGGAACAGTTTTCTATTCAGTTTTTAATATCAGGTCACAAGGGTGCCAGTATGTCTAATAATAGTTTTTAGGAATGCTTCAGCAGCCTTATGGATGCCTCGGCAACCTTAGGGATGCCTTACCAGTTTTAGAGATGCCTCGGCAGCCTTATGGATCCTCGGCAGCCTTATGGATGCCTCGGCAGTATTATGAATGCGTCGGCAGTATTGTGGATGCCTCGGCAGCCTTGAGGATGCTTCGATAGGTTTCAGGACGCACGCTCCGCGTCGCGATTGCTCACCTTTAGCTTGACGCCATGCAACTATAGCATTCAAAACACGTCACGCAACGATGCAGCGACGGTATGCTTTAGCACACCTAAAGATGCCTAAGGATAACGTGGCATGTTTAAGGATGCCGCGACATAATTGCCGTCAGTGTGTGCTTGGATATAGGGTTGCTGAAGGATCGACTGCCTGTCAGGGGACGCCTCTAATCTAAGTCGTGTTTGTAAAAAAGTTTAAGGATGATTTTTTGGAAAGGAAATGTCTCTATTCCATTCGGCTAATTTGACCACTATTTCAATAATGGTGGTGGCGATTACTTTTTGCAGTCTTCAATCCAATCCTCTTTTTGGGTATGTTGTACTACCTACTGTAAATTTGTGAATCAAGTCTCTTAAGCAAGTAATTTACCAATAGTGATGGAGATGAGTATCTGGATGATGAAAGACATCTTGAAACAGAACAAGATCGTATGCTTGGGACAGAAGGAGATGTTTGAAATAGAAGGAAGATGCGCAATCGGTTCATCGGTTTATTTTCGATGTCGCTTGAAGGCGGTGAATCATCACGCAGACAGATTAAAAGTCTTTCCCTGCATGTTCTATCATCTCTGCGAATTTTGAGCCTCTTAAGCCATTCCTTTCTCTGTTTTCTTTCTGACATTTGATCAATAGATAATACCTACTTATTCTTTTCTCCTTTTCGTTTTCTGTAACGTACAGTCAAGAGCACGTCAAGCTCGACTTTGGACCGTTCTTATCCTAAGCGACATAGAGTTGGATTTAAATCTTAAGTGTCAAGCTTGACGTGCTCTTGGCCCTACTTTTACATTTCGTCCCGATTGCTCCTCTTGCATTCTTTTTCTTATGTCTACCTCTTCCTAATATTTTTTCGTGGGCGCTATAATTATCTACTAAAGTATATAAATCAAATTAATTACGTTGATATTATATTAACTGCCTCCGTGGCCGAACGGTTACCATGCCGGACTGCCACGCAGAAGTCCTAGGTTCGATTCCCGGGCCGGGAGAAATATTTGTATGGCCTACATTTATTTATCTCGTGAGTTTGGGTGTAATTTGTGGTTGTATATGTGTGTGACCACGGCACCCTCGACACAGGGTTTCCATAGTGCGGGGCTATGTTGAGTGTGTGCGTTATATTATTATTTACGTTAATAAAGAGGGTCCATTATTATATTGTCACTTCCATGGAAATTGTGTCACCTCCATGGATAACGGTAATCCACGTCCATGGAGGTGATATTTTAAACTTAAATATCGATTTTTCGTGACCTCAATTTCTATTTATAAAATAAATGATGAAATGCCTAGATGACGGCTATAATGGCCCATAATTTTACGATATCTGATAGATCTTAATTGAATAAAATAATATGATACGTTATCCACAAAAGTGACCAAAATAGCAGGCTAATTGTTGAAAAATCATACTTTAGAGGTCTGTGCGCCAAAACTATTATCCCGGAAGTGGCAAACTGTCAAAAACTTTCAAGATGGCATTGTGTTTGTTGTCTGTAATTGTCTTAGAGGATGGAAAATATTAGTTTCCATAGTCTAAGGTAATTGTTCAGAAGCTCTGTTGACTGCGTGGTTGACTGATTTAATAAATTATGGCTGCTTTCAATAAGTTTATGCATGGAGGCCATTGACTTTTATTTTATTTGTAAGTCAATGATGGAAGTGAAAATTTTTTCCTGCGCAAACGTTATGAAATATTTTGAATCCATTATTTTATTTATGTTGTAATTATTTAGTCTTTTTTACAAAGTTTATTCTATGTATTATCGTGAAAAATAATGTAGATTAGTTTATTTATTACAGATAAATATATTTAATTTTAATTTGTATTATTGTAAATGGACTTTGCACATGACATGGAAGTGACATTTTCGTTACTTTCTTAATGATGATTTAAATAAATATTTATATTGTGTAAGTATAAATAAAAACCATATTAATATAAACTACCTCGATTAATTTTATAAAAAGGAATTTACTAAGTAATTCAAGTATATTGTTTTTTAATACATAAAAAAGTTGCCGATATGAGAATGGTCCATGTAGGGTAGGTACCCATTCGCCTTTTGGAGGGAAAAGTGTCGTTTCTATTTTGACTTTCAATTATTTTGTGAAATCTAGTTTAAAGTGAAATAGGATAGTGCTATTGTTTTCTATTGCTTAATCGAAGATTGAAACGCGAAATTATACGAATCTCGAACTAAAATACCCGTATCGGCCCGTTCTAAGGAATTCCGAGTCAATCCAAGTACGCCGCCTCAAATTGCCTATCCTCTTTGTGGCGGCCATATTTACAGAAACATAATTAAACGAAGACATGCCTCAGAGGACTTGTGTCCAAGCCA